CTCCCTCACGTGTGGAGCTTCCAATTTTACCGCCAGTCCTCCAGTTCTGTCCACCTTTTTTCGCCGCCATCGTCACCAACTTCCCTTTGGACAATTTTCCCAGTGTGTATTTTTCCTCGCATTCGCCATGTGAGTGGGAAAACTTTATCCCGAAGACAGGACAAATTTTCTAGTTGAGTAACAAAGTGATTTATTATCCGATCACCCACTTGATTCGCCCGCACTCTCTCGCTTTTCGCACTTCCTAAAGTCCTCTCCGTGATCTCTTTTAAAGTCCCCCAGCGAGAGTGAGGAAAAGTTACAAAAATGCCAAAAGCTAAGAAAGTCAGCATAATTTCAAACACTCTTCCAACACTTATTCCAACATTCAATACAATGTCCTTCTTTGTAATGAAAAAGAAGGGCGTATTTGCAGCATAATGCTGGGCGCTTGCATCTCAACAGCAAATAACTCAAATATAAATACAGCCAAAGAATTTATTGTACATCGACACGCAAATTACAGTGTTACTCTGGCTTTCTTATCACAATTGCATGTCATATCACAAAAGTCTTTCCGAGTCACGTCATTACTATATTTTCCGTACCCCATAATTCTCAATAGGAATTGTAAGTTTTTTTTTTATGTTACAGAACAAAACGCGCTAATATAACTCATGTTTTCGCTCCAAGCAAATTGTTAAAATACGGAATATCACTTTAGTAATTTGTCTCACAGCTTCTCAATATAAATAATCACATGTGATTATAATGTTGCTGAAACCCAAGCCTTAACCACACTACCTTCTCTAAGTAGGCGTGATGCTTAAACGTCTATCTATAAATGTGTACAAAGTTTCTAACCACTAGTTCTCTAAAGTATTTACTCTTGAGTGAAAATTGAACCATGAAATTTGCGTCACGAAAGGTCAAGAACACATTCACTTCTAATATTAAAGAGGACACGATAGGCTAGTGATTCATTAAGAAATTCAGAAGAAATTTAATGTTTCCCTGAGTGCAAAGCTACTGTGATTCGTGCAAATCATGACATTTTAATTGGCCAGAGAGCTTTTTGCGGGATGCTGAAACTCAGTCTCGCAGCAAATCACCTGAGATGGCTGGGAAAGTGCCGGTGAGACTCACGGGACGCCCTCAGGAGTGCCGCACAGTCATCAGGCAGGCGCTGTGAGTCAAAATGAACTGAAATTTGTGGGTTCCTGGTGTGTCAGACGGCGTTAATCAGAGTTAAGTCGTGTGAATGCGGCTGGTTTCTGGATTTATAATTCTCATTACATTCGCACGTCGCGCAGTGATTTAGAAAAGAGACTCCCCTTTGGGAACGAACGCGGTGAATTCACCAAGTTCAGATGCGAATGCGTGATGATTTAGATGATGAGATGTGGGCTTTTAATGTGAAAATTTTCTAATTTGTGCGAGAGGATTCGCATTGTAAATTCACGGAATGCACGAGGGAGTGTCCTGGAGGGAAAATGCTGCTGGGCGTATTGAGGATGAATGCTGAATTGAACGGATTTGTTGACGGTTTCTGCAAACTTTCCGTCATGTGAAAGATAATTTTCTTGGCCGGCAAGAAATGGTAGCAAAAGTTTCACCAACAATTGTCTGTATTTCAGACGCTCCTTCCAAGATTTTATATTGATGTGAAACATTATATGCACAGCGATCCGTCACACAAGAGGAGCTCTGAGATGATGAGAGCGACAGAAGTACGGGTTGCTTTGGTAAAATTTTAATTAAAGTCATGACACAATGACACGACAGCAACAGAGCGATAAAGAGATGAGCATCAGCACTTTTGATGTTTTCCACCCTCTCGTTTGCATGGACTTGATTTATCAAATCTCTAATGGCGTCCATTCCCCGAAAGCTTCAACAATGGAATAGTCACCTGGAGAACTTTGGAAAGTGGTACAATCTGCAAACACTCCATCAACACTGGAAGCAAATACGGTCTTGCACGACAAGCTAATCACGATCTGGTATTGAAATTCATGAGAAATATCACGAGTGATTAAGTGAAGAGATGCACATTGCATATGGAAACTGCATAGTTCTCACGAACATCAGTCGTAATCTCGATGCCACCCTTTCAGTGCTCGGCAAAATACCTCTCTCTCTCTCCCTCCTCTCTCTCTTCCTCTCGATAACTTTATGCGAAACTTTGTGATGCAGCGACGAGAAATATAATCTGTGACATATGGCATGGAAGATACAACAAATTTCCGACAAAATGCCAACCACGAAGTGACACAAATCTCACACGAAACAACTGAAAAGTGAATGGAAAAATTGACAAAGTTTAATAGTTTCGATATGCCAGGAAGTGCAGGAAGTTAATAAGTAAATAACACGACCCATCCAGATGAGAAAATTCAAAACACACACACACATATTTACATTTTGCACTTTGTATCGTTGAAATTTGTGCTAAATATATTCCAACTAAACTATGTGTGTAATGCAATGTCATAATTAGAAACCGAAAATTTTCAATAGAAACCAAGAAACTTAGTTTACAGTTGAAAAGCTGCTGTAGTGCGCCTGGAAATGTATTTACTCACCCGTGCATTGTTGGCACCGTGAAGTCATGAAAAGGAAGGATGTTTTCACTGAAAACTCACGCTTTCCACTTATGAGAAGAGAATCTTCATGGCTGCATCTTTTTCACGATTGTTTGGGTAAATCAACAGGAGTTTACAACCTGTCCGATGATTAATTCCAGAGCACAATTTACTTGTCGTACTATTTAGATTGTATGCACAACTTTCTTCCCCTGAAGAGAATACAATAACATCAAACAACAAAAGCAAACATGACTTTTACAAAATGCTTATCGCAGTGTAAATGTTTGACTCTTGTCGCAGAGAATAAAAAAAAAACCCTTCTTTTTCTAACAATCATTTCATATACTAAATTATATGTGTGCATGCTGAAGAGAAGGTGCAGGAAATGTCTGCAGAAAGGTGACGAGAGTAATGAAAGATGACGAATGTCCGTCAAAGGGAAGTGGAATTCCGGAAATTGTAGTCACGTTGACCGCTTGACACAGAAGAATGCATTTGCAAGGAAAATGAATGGCAAAACAGCGTCAAATGGAGAGACAGAGATTCTCTGTGACAACCTATTTGGTCAGAGTTTCTGTGTTTGTTTGTTTGTTTGTTTCCATCAAAGCAAACCTTGGATTTGTGCTGTCTTATGAATCTGCTCTGAAAGGGAATTCATATCTGAATGTTTAAATCAAATATGTATATAAATGATAGTTTGCTAAATTTGCATAGCATGAAAGCATATACTGTAAAAGCAATTTGCACTAACGAAGGGCGCAAAGAACTATGAAGGAATGAAAGCATAATACTATAAAGTTTATCTATTTGTGTGAATTTATCTAAAATGTGATATTAATGGCATTAAAATATTTAATCCTACTAAGTACAATTAATAAATATCCTGATAATGCCAATCACTATTTTCATTTTGTATGAAATTCAATCAAATTTATAAGATATATTTACTCGCTCTATCTGAACAAAGTATATTTATAAAATAATAAATCCAGTATTGATTGCTTATCAAATTTTTGCATATTAAAAATTATTGCAATCACCGTTTTTTAATTTGATAATCAACCTATCGCTGACGAGTAAAATAAAATAATAAAATTAATTACGCATGTCACGAAAAAAGCTTAATTAAGTCATTTCATATTTTCCCTTTAACGTCTCACACCGAAATGTAGCTGTCATTTGCAGGCAACATATTAACTGACTTGCCTTGCATTATGCGCATTTCTAATTACACACTGGAACGTGTAAAAGAGTGTCAAATGGGAATAGTTAATTAAAATAGGAAACTAAACAGTATAATTCACAAAATTGGCAATTTCTTGCTATAGAAGTGATAAAGCAAATAAATCAAAACCACAATCGTGAAAATCAATAGCAAATCAAGGTTGGTTTGATTTATTTTACAATATTTGCTATATAAATACATATAATTAAATCATATCGATTTCATTACTATGCATTATGTATTTCATTTAGATGCAAGTATTATTACCAAATCCGCCCTATTGTCACTTGCATTATGTTACTCCACCCTCGCTTGTTTATGATGATGAAATTTTCAATTTCAATAGAACACATGCGGAAAATTTAATTCACATTCACTTTGAATGCACATGTTTTTATTTCAATGTAAACTAAATGGCAAATATATGTACAAGTACACAATATTGATCAATGGACGTGTTTTTATTGAGTTATTATTTCCTTTATTATCCGATGTTTAATTTTGTTATCGGATTTTGAGTTAATTATTTAAAAAAAAAAGAACCTTCCGATGTATTCTGAAACTGCGACAATGCCAAAAAACCCTCTCATTTCCTCAGATGTTGTGTGCGATACATAAAATTGGCCGCAATTTCAGTAATGTGTAGCATAGCAACAATTCCAAATGTCTTACATTCAATCCCAGTTGTTGAACATTGTCTGTGCAAATAAAATTACTTTTATCGGTGATTGCCAAAGTACAATTCGCCCTCCAGTTTGTCGATTCCCAGAATGCGCATTCCCAATGCCAATGGCTTAATAAGCCATCACACTAATAAAGGCATGTAGAAAATATCAGTTGCACGAGGAAATAGTGTGTGTGTGTAACATTTAAATGATGTAATTTAATTAAAGTTTTATCATTTTCCAAAGTGCAATTAAATTTTAATTGCAATTCGAGCAAAATTTAATACATTCTCACACTCGTGGCATGTGGAAAATAACACGGAGTAAGATATGATATAGCGAAGCGAGCGCTCAATTTTCCGAGATTATTGAACCATGATTATATAATTTGCATACTATCATAATTAATCAAAATAATGTATGGTCCCTCGTCAATATTGAAATGCTCATTGTCCATTTAAAATATGTCCTTTTATGGAGTTCAAATGTGGCTGAGTTTGTCGAAATTCCACCGCAATCGCATGAAATCAAACATTATTTGCATTGGTCTACACTTTTAATTATAATATAAAATTACAAAAAAAAACAATGTTACGTATTCACCATCACAATATATGTTGAAACCTTTCCAATAAAAATCTCATCAAGTTTGAAAAGAAGAAAAAAAAACAACGCTAAAACTACAAAAAGCAGTGTAAAATTGAATACCTCACAATTTCGATGTCGTGTCCAAGTCCAGAATCTCTCTCATTTTCCTAAGTGAATCTTGAAAGTATTGCGTAAACTTCTTGCAATTGGTCTTTGTGCTGTCGTTGAATACAGTCGTGATTAAAATAATACTGCAAAGTATTAGAGAGAAAAAAAATGTAGTTTGCAGTATGTCTTGACGCAAGCCGAAAAGAATGGAAAATGAATTTCTTCGAAGGAAGGGAAAATCAATCTTATCTAAAATATCCCCAATTTCCTCTCAACACATTTGGAGCGGGTAAAGAGATATCGATTGCAAAAATTTGAGTCTTCAATTTTTCCCAATTGTCTCGTTTCACATGCAACCTTGGAGGTGAACACGGAAGATCAATCAGTTGGGCTTACCTGTTGGGCAAAATATTGTAGAAACAACCATAACCATCGAGGCACATGGGCGCCACACATCCGCCACACACATTGAATCCCAGGGTGCTCGTTGATAGAATAAAATTGCCTCCGCCCCCGCTGCAGAGCGAAACGACGGCGAAATCAATTACTCCACTCTTCACTGAGTCACAATTTGAATTTACAAAACAGAAAAGCAATAATATACATACCTGCGAGAATAGAGTGGATCATCATAGAGTTTGGGAATTTCAAATCCATTCTCATATGCAATACACCACAAAGCGAATAAATGACGATCGATTCCTCTGCCAGATCTTGCATCATTCATAAGTTGAGTTTGTCTCTTAGCAGCCACTTTGAATAATTTTACCTTCGCGGGAATCTAGAAGAGAATTGCGAAGGGATTTCAGGCATGAAATTACGAAAACTTATGTGTGTGTGTGTGTGTTAATGTGAAAATGTGATATTCATCTTCGAAGAAGCTTTAAATATCTCCCTTTGTGCAGTGAATGAATCGAATAAATGATATGCAACAGTATAATTGTAGTATAATGAGTAATTTTATAATTGAATTACTCTTGATTACCACCACTGAAATTCACACAAAATTGGTTTTCAATGCAAATAAAAGTAAAGCTCTTAGCCATGATGCAAAATTCACAATTTCCCACCATATGAAAATACTCTGCAGAATAGACTTTAACAAATAAATCTTCATCATGGCTACAGAATACTTTTACTTTTCCGACATTATGAATAATGTAAGCAAATTTCTGCATAAATCACCCATCTATGTGCATAGATGCTGTTACACTGGAGAACAACACTCACCGACGCTTCGGCATCCACCATGCATTTAATCCATTTCACAGCATCTTCGCTGCACGAGCGAACTGTTTCTGTTCGACCCCTGTAGTAATTTCTCATGAGAGCTGTCTCGTACGTTGGGGCAAATCTAAACTTGCAAATAGAAGGATATTTTGCGCTACAGATCCCCGGCAAAATTATGTGAATTTTCCAGAGTATACTCACTGGCCATGAATGCGGTGGAATGTGAGCAGAAGGGCCAATTGAACAAATGAATCCGGATGAATTTTCTCAGCTTTTATCACTTCCTTCCCAAAGTCCATGAATTGCGAATAATCCACTCCAACGGCGAGTTTCTAAATATTGTCCCTTCATGATTTATGACAATTTACAACTCACAACTGATAAACTCACGTGTTTTCGCGCCACAGTCTTCATGCGTGTGATTTCATCGCGAAGACACTCGTCAAGATCGAAGATAAGCTCGATTGGCGGCTTCTGAAGAGGCTTAGCATCCTTCCAATCAGGCTCAGGGCCACTCGAGAGGCTCTCCAGCAGGAAAGAACTCAGATGAACAGCAATCGTGCCATCAAAGCAAGTGTGCTGCAAAAAAACCGCATTTCATTCACACATCCAAACAGAGAGCATCGAGTTTCTCACCTCGCCAACACAGCCGATTTTCCCATTGGCGAATGACACGTAATTGAGGCTCTTATCACTCCATCTCTGCACCAAATCCCCACCCATGATATCAGCCACGGCTTCGCTGTAATCACTCGGACACTGATCATCGAGGTTGATCACCACAACGCCGCTGTCTATCAACTCGAGCACTTTCCTGTTGTTCGAAGACATGTCCAAGAGTCTCTTCCGGTTGACGGCCCAATTCGTCCGGTCATCGCTGGTGAGAACGCCAACGCAATCGCCAGGTTTCTTCTCCCTCGTCACGATATCCTTAACCGCTGTGAACACAGCCAAATACTGCTGAGGAGACAAGATGTCTCCTTTCTCGTCCACACAGTCAAAGACGAACATCCGCCCTTGGTACAGGATGATTGAGTGACTTGGGCAGTCGCCCTCCTTTTCCGTCTTAAAGGCACTCCAGATGGAGTCCATCTTCTCGCCGGGCAGGCGACAGGAGTTGTACAGGCGCCTGTGCAGGAAGGATGTTAGTGGAGCAGCACTCGTGGAGCCCGATTTCACGCGTTCCTGACGCAAGAGTTTCCAGAACTCAATAATGTGATGAAACATCCAGGCGGTGGTCTTCAAAGCCATCTCGGGAGTCTCTGGAATACCAGCGCTGGGCAGATTGAAGGGGTGAATCATGCCGCAGAAGGGCAAAAGAGGCATCCGTAGGCACAGATAAGCGTAATCTTCCCAATATTTGGCAACCTGGCGATAAAGACAATTTTTTACTCCCGATATTATTGAATTATAAAAACAGTGTGTTGCAAAATTCAATATCAAGTGACATTTTCTAATTAACTTGTGTCTGAAAGAACACTTTTTCGCAGAAACAACCTTTATTTCTGCAGTGTGATATTAACATTTTAATTAACACAGACAAATGATATTTATTGTTCGAGCAGAAAAAGACGTGGAAAGTCTAAAGTAAAAAGAACATCAAGAATGTACAGTAATTTTTCCTCCTGAAATACTGGAGCACATTAAAAAATCTCAAGCGGGAATATGACGTTCCACGGCGAGAATTATCCTGTAAATGAGCCAAGAGGAAATTGCGATACCGCAGAGAATCTCTGTATTGTACTTTTTTTCCCCTGCTGTCTCTCCCACGGAGATTCCTTTCATTATGATAGGGAAGGAAGACAAGGAAGATAGCGAGATACTCAATTGACACTCGGTCTTCTCATTTTCTCACTCCTTTAATCTCCAAAGACCCGAAAGAGTGGCACATAAAACAATAATTGCCCTCACTTCTCCATGTCATAAAGTTAATTATTTTTGCCGCCACAATCGACTCACGGCAATAAAATACTCCCGTCCGGCCGTATTTCAGCTGTGGGATTTCAAGTGGTCAGCTCTTGTCTAATCTCTCTCTCTCTCTCTCTCGCTCTGGAAAAGATGAGTCGGTCAGCCGCGAGGCTATATAGGACGAACGGTGGCCAGAAAGCGAGCTCAACAGTGTTGAACCGCGAGTGAGGATGAAGTTCCTAGGCGCGTTTCTGTTCCTCGCCCTCGTGGCCATCGCGAAGGGCGGTCGCGTCGCTCGGGACGACGAAGTCGACCTGCCCGATCCTGTCACACTCCAGGTCGTCATGGAATTCAACCCGACGAATACTGTCTTCGACATCATTGACACAGATCCCGTGACACGCGTGCGTACGCTGGACGATGTCGTCCAAATGCTGGCGAGGAATCGCATTATCTTCGAGGAAGATCCCATGGTGACTATCAACAGACCCCTGACAGACATTGGCGTGCCAACCACGCTCAAGAGGCCTCTGGACGATGGGCCGCCCTCTCCCCCAGTCGACACAACACCGCCGCCGCCGCCAACCACGACGACCGAAGGCCCCACGGAGACCACTGAGCCCCCAGTCGCCACGCCGTACGACAGGAGCGCCTAAACGCCCCCTTTTTCTCTCAGAATGAGACCCAAACAGACTGCTTCGGATTTGTACTCTCACCAGTAAAGTTAAGGATATATTTTGTTAAGTCTATTTAAGAATATAGCATAATTTCTCTCATATCGCCATGGTTTCACTATCGCTCTATGAACGTGAATGGACTTTGCTCGCGAAACAGGTAATCTTAGGAGTAATTCGAATAATTGATAATGATAATATTATCTCTCACTTAAACACAATATCATTGTGAAACTCATTAGAGGCATATCAACGGAAAAACCAAGAAAAAACATCACTTATTCTGAAGATGAAGTAAGTACCCAATATCTGTTTCTTTAAAACTCATTGAAAACTGGTGCAGAAACATCTTAAATGCTTATGAAAACCTAGCATTTCGACACTATCACGTGCTTACTCAGAATGATGACTTTGACTGTTTTCTTTTCTTTTCCATGTCGCGCGTGTTACTCACTAAACTTCTTTACATGTCTTGCTTCACTATTTTTCAGTTTGTTTTTGACTCCTTTAGTCTTTGTGACTTGTTTTCAGACTACATTTTAAGGTTTTTGCCTTTCATTCTTTCCATTAACAATTCTGGAATTTAGTTCAGACTGAAAATATTACCGACAAAATAGACTGAAGAGCAAAATCACAATTTTTCAGCGCATAATTTACAGTGATTTGCAGCCTCCGGTCGCATAATTGGAGAGAAATTAACCGGAATAACGAGAGTCAGCAGAGAAGCATACCCAGTTCTTTTCAGATTGTGCCTTTTTCTCCAGAATCCCTTGCAATTTTCTCCCAATTCCAGTCCTGAAAGCCTCGATTGTCTCTCTGGACGCCTTCAGCTCTTCTTGCGTGCCGAAGGGCTTCAGAGATTCATAATAACGATCCAGAGTAGCATCAAGATTAGGCAAAGGAAGCGCGGGCGCCACTTCATCCTGCGCAAAAGTACTCAGATCATCTTCACCGCACACGAAGATCTTATTGCGTGGCAATGTTGTATGAGAATCAATTGAAGTAAAGATTAATTTCCTTGCTTTCGTGGCTACTTCGAAGGGTGGTCGCATCCTTCTGAAGGACAAAGTTGAGCTGCTTAATCCCGTCACACTCGAGATCGTCCTGAAGTTCAATCTGACAAATGGTTTCTTCCATATAACTGGCACGGGTCCCGTGACACGCGTTTTCACGCCAAATGACGTGGTCCAAATGGTTGTTAAAAATCGCATAGTGACTTTCACAAGAACTCTGACACATGCACAGTCTTTTCGACACTATTTCGTGTGTCTTACTAAAAATTGTAGCAAAGTCTGTATGACTATGAATAAAGTTTTCTTCGTCTTTTGCATGTTGCGCGTGTTTCTCACTAAATATTTACTTATCTATTTTCAGTTTATATTTGACTTCTTTGGTTTTATTCTTTTGATATCATTCTTTGCTTAGCTGTATTTTAGTTTTCGGCTTCTATCAGAAGCAAATCACATAATTAAATCATATTTTGCAAACATTCATAATAAAATTGCCTTTAAGATGAGATTCATTCTAAGATCTTTCAAATTATTCTAGCATAATCACTATTACAAAGCGTGTAATGATCATTCTTTTATTCTTTTCTGAGTTTAGATCTTATTATAAACCATTAAGATAATGGAAACCACAAAAAACACATCAAAGCAATTTGATACCTAATTAGCTTGTTGTAAGTATTTAATGGCTTAAATATAGTGCCATTCCCATGACTTGCTTATCTCAAACGATTACTCGTAAACTAGAAACGCTTGAAAATGAGTCAAAAGCACACACTTTTCATCCATAAGCAGCCTCTGGTTGCATTATTGGAGAGAAATCAACACTGGAAACTTTTGCAATCTTCGCGGTGCAAAAGAACCGGAATAGCGCGTGTCACGAGCACAAAAACTTACCCAGTTCTTCTCGGACTGCGCCTTTTTCTCCAGAATCGCTTGCAATTTTCCTCCAATGCCATTCCTGAAGGCCTCGATTGTCGCTCTGGACGTCTTCAGCTCTTCTTGCGTGCCGAAGGGCTTCAGACAGTCATAATAGCGCTCCAAGGTGGCGTCGAGGCTGGGCAAGGGAAGCGCGGGCGCCAGATCATCCTGCTCAAAAGTACTCGGATCATCTTCACCGCACACGAAGATCATGTTGCGTCGCTGCATTGTGTGAAAGTCACTGAAAGTAAGGGTGAAATTTGCAACATTAAGTACTGCTTCGGGTGGATTTATTCACTGTGATAGGAGAACCCCACAAATCCGGAGATATCACCGAAATCGAGGTGGATTTAATGATAAAATAGACACGACATAGCCATTAATTTTCATGCTATGCGGCATACACGCAACACACAACTTGTTTGCACTTATTTGCCGCGTTTTACCTTTGCTGGGGAATATTCAATTGCCTTGACTCTTTGCATAATGGAACAATTGTGCATTTGAGGTCCCATTTGAATTTCTCCCAGTCACCCAGGCGACAGAGCCCTCATACCTGTTCTCTCCAGCCATATCCGGAATTCGCCCCGTAGATTGATGACGGCTCAAAGTTGAATAGCTTGTGAGTCCAAATTCCGCCCTCCGGCCTCAAGAGTCATTGATAAATTGCTACTATCACACGTCTCCCGTCTGCTTTCACTTTTAGTAGTACTTCCAGCGCGGTTTTGCTGTGTTTATTCCGCGACTGAAAATGCAGCCAATTTTATTCGCTTTTGTTTTCAACACACTTCACGCACACACATTTACGCACATCAAATGTCAACTGCGCCAGTGCTGCCTCCATGTGGCCAATGGCGGAAGGTATTCCAATGATTTCAGCAAAAATTTCTTCTTTCGAACGTTGTTTTCAACTAGAATTTATTCACAATAGAGTGTCTTCACAGCGAATGTACTCCCCAATGTCAGCCTGATGGAAGCACACTGTCGTCAGAGGATCGGACAACTTGCACTCTGCCGTCGATCGAGCGGCCACTCCGAATCCCAGTGGCAAATCTCCCATGCTGTACACGATCACGCCCTGATACTTGGGCGTGTTTTCCGTGATGCGCCCCATTCCGGACTTGGAAATGTGGTTGCCGTAGAGGAACTGCTGCTCCGCCGAAGGCTTCAGCCAGATCTTGTACTGCGCGTATGGAGCGAGATAAGCCAGAGCTGTTATGTGCAGCTTGAACTTGTTGCTTTTGCTGAATTTGCCAAAACACGTTCCAGCGCAGACCAACTGTTCTGGTGAGAAGTTCTCCGCCAGCTTCATGATCTTCTCCGACACGTAATACACCCGATCGCGCTTTTCGCGGAAGCAGTATGTGCCATCCGGACGATCAATGAGCTGCTTCACATTGGGGCCAATGCTAAAAAACGAAGTGAGGTTAAACACAGTGAATAATATAAAATCATAATTCTGCATACTATTTTGATAGTTTCTCGAACAACACTCGTGTCCGCTCCTCTGACAGTCTCTTCATAATGATTCTAAGATGTTGCACTCACTAAAAATACGTGAAAAATTAGAGAAAAGACTTGTAAACAAAATCCAGCATGTGCGGCTGTCAAAACACACACTTTCCAGTCAAATTGGAAAACATCGAAAACTTTCCCCTTGTATTCTCCGCTGACTTCGCAGAGGTCGCTTCAGTCGACGGCGCGGAGAAATTGTCTCAAATTAAATTTTTGCAAAATACTGGATATTTCCGGTTTGAACTCATTATTCCAGAATTTACATGAATCACATGACTAAACCCAATGCACCATCAATTTGACCCGTTTTGCCAGCACACAGAGAGCCACAAAGTGTGCGAAGAAGTTTCTCCGAAGAGGAATAAATAATAGTTATTGGTCAATGTGCAGCCGTTATGACATCATCAAGACCTCCTCCACAAGCGTTCGCCACGCAGAATTTATCCACACTTTGCGTTTTTGCGTATCCCAATTTGGCATCTCTTGGCGTGATAAATAGTCAGGTAATTCAGTCACGGGTCAATTCAGAAATCACATGACTGAAATCCAGTCGCAAAACGAGAAAAAGGGGAAAAACGCGAAGAGAGAGAGGAAAAAATTTATCACATTACATTAATATTTTTTCCTTTTAAACTTCTTTGAGCGTGTTTATTGGTCTCTTTGTGTGTCGATGCGCTGTAGTGGAGATCGCGTCACGTGCTTCTTGTAATATCATCTCTTCAGGTAAACCGGTCAAAACTTGAAATATTTACATTTGGAAAAGGAGGAGAAAAAACAGCACAAAATGATAGCAACAAAATTGCCTGCTTTTTGGACTTTTACCTATCCATTGTCACATGGTCAATTGTATTTGTTTTCCTGCTAAAAAATCACAATGTTTATCTATTATCTCGTGCTTATATTGTCACATTTTTTCTCTGAATTCCGTGCTCAACAATTGAATATACTTCCATGTGCCGAAGCTGTAATAAAAAAACAACAATATTAAGATTGAGGAAGTGCAGAAATAAGAAAAGAAGAGAAGAAAAACCGCGATAAAGTTCCATAAATACACGAATAAGAAAATTAACTGAATTATTATCTTCCCATTATATATTTTTTTAATTATTCTTATCGAGACGAAGTGATTTCTCAACGGTTATCTTCACTGCTAATTGTCGACGGCAGATTCTCACATGTGTTACTTTATTGCAGTCTTCTAGCGAGAAATTTTCCATAGAATGACTGAAGCAGACGAAAAAGCATCTGAAGTCCTGATAAGGTTCGAGTAATGAGAATGCGCAAAGGTAAACTGACAATATTTCTTCAGTCCCTTCAATGATTCATGGTTACAGTTTAGCTTCTTGTAAATTTCAGATATTCTTCATTGTATTTTTCAGGCGGTGAAAAGTCGCAGATTTTGAAAGCGTCATCAAATTTTGAGATTCACAATCTATAATTTATTGACGAAGACAAAGCCACTAATTATCAAATCTACGTCAATGAAAGAAAAAATAGGTTATTTCTTTTGTCAAAAATCTTCCTCTTTCTTCGAATGTCTTGAAAGAAAAACAGGAAATTATGCAAATTGCTTGCAGAAAGACGCAACAAATTGTATTCTCAAACCGCTTTGAACTGAAAACTCCAAATTGATAAACACAAAAGACAAAACTCTTTTTCTTGGCGTCATTTTACGGGTTTTTAGGAATGTTCTAAAGTTCTTGTTTCCCAACTCTCAGTTTCTTAACTCTTGACACACTTGAAATCCTTGAAAGCTCATTTCACCATTTTACGTTTTAAACTTTACATTTGACTAAAACAAGTCATTCACGTTATGAATTGCAATTGAACTTACCTATAAACATTGTTACATTTATATCGGAATTTCCATAGAAGAATAGCTTTATTGAAATGCTGTAATTTGCGGTCAAGCTAATAATTTCACAACTTTTTGCAATTTTCAGATGATTCTGTTTCTATCTCAGGATTCTTAAAGGTTTAGTTCAGATTTAAAAGTGAAAAACTACATGAAATTTCTTTGCTTTCCCAAGCAAAAATCTTGACAAATATGATTGAGGAAGATAGTTAAATTTGGGTACTAAAATTCACTGGGTTTCGATTTGCTGAGCACATAAAACTTTAAATCGCTCGTCAGCCTCTATTAGTCCCCAAAGAATTGCGTAACCAGAACAATTCTACACTGAAATGTCCTTCTATTAATTTTTACGACTTGTCTCGTAAACTAATAAACAGTCTCAGATCAATAACGCAAGGATGAGACATTCAGAAGTTACAAATGTTTCGAAACTTCCCAGGAAAAAAACACCCAAAAACGTCACATGAATAATCAAGAAATAAATTCTAATCATCATAACTTAGAAATCTCTCGCGGAATGTGCCTAAAATTCAATCAACTAATAGATTGGCTTGAACTATTCAATTGATGCGCAGTTGTTGAAAATTCAATCTACAAAACATTCTCATAATTCTTCATTATGAATTGTCCACAGAGCAGCAGAAATGTCTCTGGCTTGTGCCTGACGCGCGACAAGACAAGTTGTAATTGCTCTGGGAAATCTATGAAACATTGCGCCCTTATTGGCGCTTTGGCACGGTTTTCCGAAGAAGTGCGGATGGGAAATCTACCTGAGTGGCGAAAATTCCGAGCCGTCGGGGTGGGAGAGACGTTCGCCGGTGGGGAATTCCCAGCCACAGGAGGGCCCTCGCTCAGAGGCCCCACAACTCGCCCACTCCTCAGACTCACCGTCGAGACTTCCTCTGTTGAGCGGCTGAGTGGAGTTCGCGGCTCTCGTGCTTCAGTTGCTGATAAAAGGCCGAGAAAGCAGCACGGATGCTCTCACAAGCTCCCCAGCACTTCTGCTGAGACTTTGTGGACTTTTTTGTTGATTTCTGTGTTTGTGCAAAAATTTACACCAATTTGTGCAGTGCGTCTAGGTTTTTTGCAATCCCGCTAAAAAGTGTTACGCCCATAAAACAGGTGTGTTGACAAAAATTTCTCACTTCAAACATATAAATAAAATTATTCAGTTGGTGGCATTTTTCGACCTCCCGCAGAGTTTGTGGAGAAAAAGCAGCTGAAACCGTGTGATAATTAATCATTATTTCATGATCAATTGAAAGTTGAAGATTTGCAATTTCTTGAGGGAAGGTGATTTTGCGAAAAGGTCGAGAAAATTGGGTCACATTGTTCGCATTTAGCTGGATTTTTCGTGAAATTTTGTACGATTCTCCTCCAGAATGTGTTTGGAATGCGAAGTATTTGAGTAAATGTTGAGGTAGGAAATAGCGAGCAAATAGTGTAATCAAAATCACCTGTTAGATTTTCACATTCTCTTCCTCACCTAATCGCTCTTTCTCGTGACATTAATAGTCGATTATACTTAAATATTCCCGTGACTCTTTATCGGACATCAAACAAACAGCTAAGAAAGCAAAAAAAAGAAGGAAAGACGGTCAGTGCAAAGCAGTTTGAAAAAGACACTTGAAATAAATTGTTGTTTTTTTTTATTGTGGAGCGAAGACAATAGAATGCAAAAATTTTCCACACTTGAATACACTTTTACCCTTATCGTGTGCGCATAGTCTGGAAAAAGACACCCAAAGTGCACCACCGTGGAAAATCACACATATTCGACGCTGTCTCGGGAATTTCTGTGTCGTCCGCCGGATGTGCAGTGACAAAAAAAGAGCACAACTATGAGAAATTTTCTCAAGATCATTTGATTGCCACTTCCGAGTTTTTCCCATCGTCCAGAGACCTCTCAAAGTGAAGAGACGATGAAAAGTGAGGAAAAAGCGTTGGATGAAAAAAAGCTGCTGCAATTTCCCATTAATTGATTCCCGTCTCGATTGCATTATTGGTGAATTTGCACATGTGAGATCGTGTGTCAATGAAAGTCTCTCGGTCGGGAAAGAAATTTAGCAATTTCACCTTGAAAGGCTGCAATCGTTCACGAAAATGGTATTAAGGACACGGTTGACAACATGTCGTCGTGAACGCCAGACGAATTCCTCAGCACTTCCGCTGATCACTTTTTCTGACACTTTTTGCGATCGCGATCAGTTGCAAAATGTGGAGAGAAGAAACATTCGAGAGCGATCGGCGAAATAAAGTGCCAAAACGGCAGTAAAAAAAAGTGATGTAGAAAAAGTCGATAAATATTTCATTGCCAAGGCAAGTTGTAGGGAAAATCATGAACACTTTTGAATAGATTGAAGATAAAGATACACCGGGAGACTATTTTATTGCTGGTAGTGTAAAATTCTGCTGATTTTTAGTGGATTCAACTTGTGGACCAAATTTCAAACAATACTTCGCTTATGATCATTTATTTTCACAACTCTGGTGATAATGATACAGAAATCAAATCGGCATTCATTTCAGAAGCACATGTGCTGATGATTGTCAAATATTGGGTTACAGAAGAAACCAAAGAGACCGAAGAAGAAAACAAAAAGGCAACAAAGCCATAATATATTTGTTTAAAATTTGTGGTCAAGTGTAAATAAAAACTTGTTGTGTAGAAAATAATCGACATCAGCAAAAATGAAAGAATTTGGTAACCAGCTCAATTACATTTCACGGAACTGAGTCAATTGTCGCTTTTTGCGAAAGAGATAATTGAAATTTTTACAACTCCAAAACCAACAAACGATTCAATTGAAGTGGAATTTAAATTTCGTATGAAAAATTACAAAATTCTCATTAAAACAGACAATTGCTTTGGGGTCAGTTTTATCTTGGACATTAGAATGTAAACATTTCATTCGGTATTGGTAAATAGAATTGAAGGCGAGGAGCATCTTGTAAACCTCTATATCCTTCCTTATCTTATTTACTTTTCAATTGAAATTTGTGCTAAACTTTCTTCGACGAGGCAAAAGAAGAGATTGCAACTGAAGGTTTTCCTCCCTCATAATATAAATTCAATGCTAAATTCCACACTTTATGATTAAGTCTCGACTCGTGTTCTTAAATATGTTCTTCTTCAATAATGACGTATTTTACCACACGTCATAGGTATTTAATTCTGTAAGCAGAGAATTAAATCAAAAACCCAATTCAAACACGCTACGAAAATACGCTTTGAGTGATGCATTTTCCCCTCAACTAAAATTCCTCTGCAATTAATAGTGTCGTTTTTACTAGCGGCAGCGGTGGAATATCCCATCAATCTTGCGCAGACGTCACAACTAGACTTTTACACTACGCAACTTCACTTGGGATTCGCCCGTAGATTTTCCACGTGGCGCTGGCAAAAATTCACAGCTTTTCATGGCAACTCTCGCGGCTCAAGAGTGTTTTATTGCCACTGGGTCGCCTTTTCGTGCGCTGGTAGAAGCATGTGACGGGTTTACGATAGACAGTGTGTGATCAAATGCACAGCATTGAACTTGACACCGCGAGTCTCGCGATTTGAAATGCTGTGAAGAAAATACAGCAGCGTCAATTTCAATATTCGAGTAGCAATTAACAGTCTATCCTTGAGTGTTTCACTCACTCATAAAACACGTCTTTGCTCTGGATAAATTGAATTAATATCATTCAACTCACACTGGAGGTGTTGGAGAGTTCAAAAAACCACCTCATGGACCCTCACTTTTTATGCTTCACTCTCTCTCTCTCTGCTGGTGAGATAAGGAAATGATTGCAATAAATTCTGCACACGCTTTTCGGAAGGTGAATTTCTTTTATTGCCAACTGGCAGAGCGGCCCAAAACTAGGGCGCCATTGATAAAGTTCTTTGCGAAAAGCAAAGTCACGAAAAGCATCACGTGAGTTGACCTCCACGGAAAGTCGACAGGATTAAGAGTGGAGGTTTCCCGAGGTAACAAAAACTAATTTGTGTGCAAGGCACTTGGTGAAATATTTGCCCCAATTTCCATCACAGGAAGGAAGAATTCTTCTTCATTGCAGTGCACAGTCAGGAAAAAAAGACTTATTGAGGGAAATTCTAGTGAAGGTGATCATAAAATTTTTTATAAGCCTTCAAATGCTTATAAAAACACAAGTTTGGCCCGAGGAAAACCATATTTGAGGAGAAGCGTTAAAACAAAACATGTTAAGAATGATTAGTTAGTTTAGAACATGGTTAACGACATTTTCCATCCCAGTGAATAAAAATGTTTTCTTGGCCATTTGTGCTGAAATTGTCAATCGTCAAGCGATTCGAATGTCTTTCTATCGACGCAAGAGAGATAAATTTGAGATCTCGAAACGTACAAATTGTATAAAATGTCATTATTAGAACTATCAATCATCACCAATGAAAGTGAAATAACAAGTGTGTTTGCCACACATTTCCTCGAATTTTTATTAAAAATATTTGCTTTCCGCTTTTTTTCTTTTGAAACTCCATATCTTCAGACATCAATTAAGATATTACTGATTGTAGTTTGCTCACAGTGTGTTCTTATCCGCAACCTTGCATTCTTTCTTCAACAGAAACTTCTCGAAACAAAAATCTCTCATTATCAGTGAAGACGCAATAAAATTAGTGAATAGGTAATCCACAAATTGCTGAGAATTAATTGAAGGTGAGCTAAGTGGATGTTACTAGAATTTGGTAGAAATTGGCTTTGAGAGATAAAAGAAACGTGAATGAATGGCTTTGACTGTGTCTGTTTTGCGAGATATGGAGAAATATTTATGAATTTTCATTATCATTCCCAACGTGTTTCAATTAACACAAATTATCACGTGTTTCTTAGCATTTTACATGCACAATTTGTATTCCAAATATTTACATTGTCGATATGGTGTGTGTCATATGCAAAATAACCATTTCACAGATTGTGGATTTTTAATTGAGTATGAAATCTGTCGTGCCGATTTTCCCACTTAACAGACTTTGAACATAATAACGAGGTTTCTCGGGGATTGCCCGTCGATATGAGCGAGATGAAATGAGTCAAATGTAGAAAACCCTGTTGCACATCTAACAAACTCCTCTTGTTTGCCAAATGAGGTTCGCATATGGGAAATTCTCCAAATAGAACTCTATATTGGTGATCATTTTATTAGTGTAATTGGACACCTTTTATTTATGAAGAAATCACCGTGAATTTAACGCTTTGCTGATCACTGAGTCTCTGACGCACACATTTTGAAATTTTAATTATATTTCCACTGTGGAACTTGTTTCGTGAAATTTTCGCTCACCAACGTTCAAGATTGCTGCACACAACTTGACATTTTTTCGGAGTCGCCTTTTCAATGAATTTCCTCGAGACGATCTTATTTTGCATTTTCATTGACCGCGTGCAGAAACGATCATCGATCTGCTCGAAGGTTTTAAGCAAATCGAACTGAAATTATTTATTACTCGTCGTCAATGCAATCGATTTTGGGTGAGTATATCAATGATAAAAGCAAATTACTTCCTGACATTGCTGCGAAATAGCTTTATCAGTCGAGGAATGCATGTTTAGAATGGCAGAGAAGTGGGGATACCATAAGACAATCCCAGATTGAAGTCAAGCGTGAAGAGATTGAATATATTGATTTAAGAAAAGAAACTTTTTCTAACAATCTTTTCCCAGAAATTACGTAATTCGCTGATTATTGGTTGCACTCAGAAAAATTGGTTGGAAACAATTCTTTTTTTTTAATACAGATTAGTGAATTATTATGATAGAATCGAGACGAAGAGAAACAGGAAAATAAGTTGACTCAGATGTTACACAAAAATATTTACAAGATTGTTGTGGAAGTGAATGTTTTTTGCTAACGGAATTCGTAAACCAAAGTGTGAAATGTGGAAACTTCCATGGCGAGCTAGAAATAACACTTGGTTATGATAGGCAAAGTCATACTTTCCTTTTATGAAGCTATCTCTAATTAATATGCTTCTTAACCAAGACGATAATTGCGCACACTATTAAATCAATAACCACTAGTTCTGACACAGTAACATCGCACGAAGAAGCATTCTCTGTTGATAAGGCGAAAAAGAATGATTTAATAGCTGAAAAAGTTGGGTCTTTTGCTGCATTTTCCCATGTTGTACAATTAATAATTCATTAACTCCTATAATACTGCTCATTTTAATGACTTTGCCTTCTGTGAAATTACCCAGCAATTTCCCGCTCAATTGTGACGCGTGCTCTCACAGATCAGCTCATTTTCGATGTTAAACGCTCAACTTTATTTAATCTAATTGCTCGTGATAATTAAATAGAGACAAGTGTTACGAATTGTGTTTGTTTTCACTCCCATTTATTTGTACTCAAGTTCACAATTTGCCATTCGTTTTATCACGCCGAAAATCTCTTGTTGTCTGTTGATGGGAAAAATGATTTAAGAGTGTTAATTGTCAACAAGCTATTCATCCGAAATGGCGCGCGTGGCCCCACTTTTGCTTGGGCGTCGCGTGCCAAGTCAAGATATGATAGTGAAGGAACTTTTTGGCATCTTGCACCCCGTCCGTCACTCTTTTGCCACCCATTTAATGGTCCTTCTCGCCTCCGCATCATCGCAAAACGACCAGAGTCAATTTATTTGCTGTTGAAACAAATCAACGAGGAGAGTAGCAAATTGAATCATCGTACAATCATAAAATATCAAAAGGAGAGTCATATGACATGAATTAAGGCAATATTAAGCGCAATGTCTCTCTCTCTCTCTCGCCATATGTATATGTATGTAAAGGAATGGCGAGAGCTAGACTGCTATTGGGAATGGGTGTGATAAACGCGCACACACAAGGATTTTCCAAGCATCAATATAATTAAACAAGCGAGCAAGAACGAGAAAACAAGCACGTGATGAGAGATGATGCCAGAGAGTCACATGATCGAAATCCCTCGCAAAGAAACCCGCAGAGCGGAGGAATTAAGCTGAGAACTGGAAAGAGTGACGCTTTATCATTTCGACTGGCGGAACGAGTCGCGAACTGGGCAAAAAGAAAGGCCCGAAAAACGCGGCAAGAGCACTCCAAAGTGAAGATCAAAAATTCGCCAAGTCACAGAAATTGTACGACAAGCAAGTTGAGAGCCAAAAAACATCAATATCAATGGGTCATCGACCACTCGTGCAAATTGCTATTTAAATGTATGCCTCTCACCGTGAATCTCTGAAGACTTGGCGTTCAGTGAAATTGCAATAACACCCAAAAAAGCTCCACCAGTGCCTAAGCAGAAGAGACCATTGAGCTAGGAGTTATTGTAGCATTTTCAGGCCACAAAAGTTCACTTCAGCGTTGACCATGGTTTTTGTGCGAAGAATATTCATAACAAGTAATTTGCATTGCTTCTCCAAAATTGTTGGTTTTTTTTGCAAGAGGTTTTTTGATTGTCCGCACGAGGAGTGCCTAAATTGCTGGAAAAGCCCATGAGTTGTAGCTAAATTTGCGACAACTCAAACATTCCTTGAGGTTGGTCTATTTCCATATTAATTTCACAAGAGAATTAAGTCAGTAGAAGCACTCTCTCAGATAAGATTATTTCACCCTGAACTTCCCAAACACGATATTCTTGAAAACTGCAAGTGACAAATGCTTGTCTAATGTGAAACTCGTGAAACATTGAGAGTTAACTCAAGTGTTTTAATAGGTATTTTAATATAAATTTCGCGCACATTTATTATTACATTTGTAGACAATTAAGGAAGATCATGAATGAGTGTTTAAACAGATTGACATTTTCTGAATTCTTTTCAGCAAAATAATTGCTCATAAACTTAAATATTTGCTGTCACAAATATTACAGAGAGTATAAAGTAAACTGAACCTCATTGAATTTTAATCACACAAGGCATATATAATTGCAGACAATTCATTATCAATTAATAGAGGAAGTGCTGAAAAATGCGGCTATAACATTTATTGAAATGGAATTTCTGGGAAAGACATTTAAGTTAAAATTGGTTTTTTTTTAAACGAAGAATGCTCAAAAAAGAATATGATTCTTCCTTGCAGATCATCTCAGGATGAAGCCACACACCAACTTTAGCGGCGAGAACGGGTCGTACGTGAATGAAGCACTGGACAGTAGTACTCTGGACGTGAGAATTCCAAATGACGGCGAACCCCATGGAGGTCTTAAAGGCTCCAACGAGTTCATTCGTGAGTATCTCGACAGGGCTTGGCTCAGTAGCTGGCAATAAATCATGAAAAAGTGTCGCAAAATCACTAAATTCAAACACTATTTGCAATAATAATGCTGATTGAGTGAGACAAATTGATGTGTTATAATGGGGCACTTTGTCATGCACAATTCATATCCGTGACAGTGAATTCGCTCACCTTGACCAGGGGAAACTCTCTCCCGCGCATTTTTCACGCTCCGATCATGTGGGAAAATTTCCACGAGTTTCGATCATATTATTAAATGGCTCACCCATTTTTTACCTGCACAGTCACGGACAGCAAGGAGCAGAAATGTCGCCTGGAGGATGTGAAAATGTGGTGCCGAAGGCGAGCAACGAGTGCACTGTCTAAGAAGGTTCTCTACAAGAGACTTCCCATTCTAAACTGGCTGCCCAAGTGAGTATCTTGCACTATTTCTCATATTTCTCAATTCAGTCGTTGCGAAAATTCCTCATTGTTTGAGGAAAATACAAGAGAATAACATAATTTCAGATGTATAGCTATCGACCTTCATTGATAAATTGAGTGTGAAATGAGAAATTGCGTAAGAAATGTACTTTTTGGATAGATTTCGGTCTTTCTTATTAATTGATTTTCTATTGATGATGAAATTTAGATTCTTAAGTAGACGTTTCTTTACCACTCTTGCAGGTACTCATCCACTGATGCAATGGGAGACGTTGTCGCGGGTATCACTGTGGGTCTCACAGTAATTCCACAGGCTCTGGCCTATGCCGGCATTGCTGGTTTGCCTGCGGCTTATGGGCTGTACGGTTCGTTCCTCGGGTGCTTCCTCTACATCTTCCTGGGCAGCTGCAAGGATGTGCCCATGGGCCCATCGGCCATCTCTTCACTGCTCACACTGCAGGCAGCTGGAGGAGTGTGGCAGAAGGCAGTGCTGCTCACATTCCTCACAGGCATCATTGAGCTACTCATGGGCGTCTTCGGTCTAGGATTTCTCGTAGATTTCGTCTCAGGGCCAGTGTCGTCCGGGTTCACGTCCGCTGTGGCCCTCATTATCGCCACATCTCAGGTGAAGGATGTCCTGGGCATAAACGCCAAAGGCAGCACTTTTATCTCAGTCTGGCGAAGCATCTTCACAGAAGTGCACAACACCCGACCCTGGGACACAGTCTTGGGCATCACTTGCATCGCTGTGTTGCTCATCATGAAGATTCTCTCTACAATTAAGGTAAAACTTCCACAGATCATATGAAATCTTGAACTGTATTCTAATATCAGACATTATCGTTCTAGATCGGACCTGCTGATGAGGAACTCAAGTCCTCAAAGCACAAGATCATCAACAAAACCCTCTGGTTGGTGGGAACTGCGCGAAATGCTATTCTTGTAGTGATCTGCGGCGCCATTGGATACTCCTTTCAGTCCACTGTGGTGCCCTTCCGCCTCATTGGCAACGTTCCGGCGGGTCTTCCCAGTTTCCAAGCGCCCCCATTCTCCATTCCCGGCAACGAGACGATCGCAGAGCCCGATCAGTCCTTCGTCGACATGGTGACATCAATGGGATCAGGCCTGGTTGTTGTTCCTCTGATCGCCCTTATGGAGACCATCGCCATCTGCAAGGCATTCGCCAATGGAAAACCCGTGGACGCTACGCAGGAGTTGATCGCCATCGGTGTGGGAAACATTGCCAACTCCTTCGTTCAGGGCTTCCCAGGCACAGGAAGTCTGTCGCGATCGGCTGTGTTCAATGCCAGCGGCGTCAGAACTCCGATGGCGAACATCTACACCTCGCTTCTGGTCATCTTCGCCCTGCAGTTCTTCACGCCTTACTTCTACTTCATCCCGAAAGCCACCCTCGCTGCCATCATAATAGCAGCTGTGATTTTCATGGTGGAAGTGAAGGTGGTGAAGCCGATGTGGAGGACTAAAAGTGAGTACAATTGTACCATAGTCATACTTTACACGCTGAATTACACCATTGAAAATCAATATTCCGTGAAATATGAGCTTCAACAGTCTTCATTTAATAATTAAATGCGAAATTAATACATTTTATTGGGTCATATAAATGATCTTCACGCTCAACTGATGCCGAAACCGGAGAGGAAAATGTTCACTTAAATTATAAGTTTGCCTAAGATTACCTAATCAGCAGTAATATTATTTTTATAGCCATGAGAAAATGTAGCTTTATGATGTTTTCGCAAAAAAATGTCCTAATTTAAATGTTTGCAAATTCAAAAGAGGGGCAATTTTGGAAATGATGAATAACAATGCAGATTCAAATAAGACTTTACAGCCAGCTTGAGGAAGTTTCCACTGTCTTTATTGTTTGTTTTTCATGTGTTTGGCGAAGAGCTTCCAAACCCCAAAAGATATTCTATGCTAAGCTACGGAATTTTTCTTTGCAGAGAGTGACCTTATTCCTGGTCTTGGAACCTTCATCGCATGCCTTTCGTTGCCTTTGGAGATGGGAATCCTTGTTGGAGTCGGACTTAACATGGTATTCATCCTTTACCATGCAGCAAGACCAAAAATCTCCGCGGAGACGTTAGTTGTAAGTTCTACCCTACAGAAAATAATGGTATTTGAGACCTCTTCTGATCATTAATCATCATTTCTCAACAGAGCCCAGGTGGAACTCAGTACCTCATCATAACACCTGATCGCTGCCTCATTTTCCCCTCCGTGGATTACGTTCGCAATCTCGTGACCAAGCACTCACGCAAACAGAATCTCCCCATCGTAATCGATTGCTCGCACGTGTACGGAGCTGATTACACGGCAGCCATGGTGATTTCTCTGCTCACTGAGGACTTTGCCAAGAGGAAGCAGCCTCTGTACTTCTACAATCTCAAGCCCAGCGTCTGCAGTGTCTTCGAAGGACTCTCGCCGGTGGACTTTGTGGTCTACTATCGTGAGGAAAAGATTGACGATCTGCTGCGCGACTACAAGCTCAAGTCCGTGACGGAAGGAGTTTAGACAGAGTGAAATGTTCCCACATGAACTACCATTATCTCTTGCAGCCTTCTAGATTAGATTAACCCTTAGGCAAGAAATAGGATAGAAGGATTAAAACAGTATTTTTCGATAAAGTATTTCCAACCTATATTATTATTAGCAGTTGTAATTGTATTGCATTTAAAAGAGAATTATAATTAATTTGCATAAAAATCATGAATTGATCGTTTTACTTTTATCTTGAGAAACAGGAAAATCACTACTCCCGACTTGTGATAACGAATTTTAGGAAATCACAATCATTATTCTCACGCGCTTGAGAAAAATCACGGTGAAGTTGTGATATCATAAAATCAAAGGAAAACTTATCATTATTCTAATTTTCTAAGGAAATAAAATAATAATTATAGCAATAATTTTTTATGCAAAGCGGTTTATACCACGATTAATAATTGACTTACAACTTGTCACATTACGTAAATGTAAATTATATGAAGCATGAAATCCATCATCTAGTTAATAATTTATTACAATATTCCGTTCATTCCTGATGCGGTTTGATCTGGAATTATTGGGAATCGGGAAGCGCTGGAAAGAAAAAACATAGAATTTCGCCGTGAGTGCGTTTGACACCTTTTGTGACAGCGAAATTGGCGCCTCCCTTTGTTTACACCGTGTGTCTTGCGTGTTTCCAGAAGCGATAAATTTTTCTGGCTTCCCTCAGAAGTCCTGAATATAATCCGTGATTTGCAATATTCTGTTGTAAAGTCTGCAATAAAACCTAGTGAAAATGGAGAGCGAAGTGATGTCTGTGGATTCATTGTTGAAAGATTCCCAGTCGCCTGCGTCCAAGGAGAAGAAGATAGAGCTGCTGAACAGGTCCTGGGTAGATGTTATGGAGGAAGAAGAGGCGGCAAGAACTCTTGCCAAGGAACAAGCAACAAGAGAGAGCCAGAACGAGAAAGCAACGGAGGAAACTGAGGAGCCAGAGAGCGCTGAGCGTCAAGATGTTTACGAGGTTGTAGACGAAGTGGGATACAATCAGGAGGACTTTCTGGACATTGATGAGAACTCTATGGATTTGTCAGATGACAAGAGAAATATCGAGATTGATTTCCTAGACCGGGAGAACGAGAAGAAGTTTGACAAATTGGTGAAGGAAGAGAAAATCAAGACACCCTTCAAGAGACGCTTTTCCGGAGAGTCTATCCAGGAGGGTGGGACTGAAGCCACTGAGTCAAAGAGGAAGAAAGACACCACGCATCGTGTTCGCTCGACTAGCAACAGTTCTGGCAGCACAAACAACTCTGGAAACACCAAAATGAAGAGGGAATACGAGAGTGATCCGGAGATTCTGATGAGACGCCAGAAGCAGATTGATTTCGGGAAGAACACCATCGGCTACGACAACTACATCAATCAAGTGCCAAAGGCCGAGAGAGCGTCCACAGATCCCAACACTCCGCAGAAACGCTTCAAGTACAGCCGAAGAGCCTGGGATGGACTGATAAAGCAGTGGCGAAAGCAATTGCACGCTTGGGATACAAATAATGATGAGGAGAAAGAGGCTGAAGCTGATATGGAGACATGAGTCGTCAAAGATATAATTTATATGTTCACCAGTTTCATTTAGATAGCTTAAGACAGTGGATTTCATTGAGAATCTCTGACAATCTTTCATTCTGGCGCTTCTCAAGCATCTCCAGTTTCTCATCAATCTGTCTAGTGATATTCTCCTCCAGTTTCTTTAAACGTTGTTCGAGGAACTCCTTTATATCGCCTTCTGCCAAGGTGTTCGACTGCGTTGGGAGATTGTGCACTGATGAACTGCTCTTGGCAGCGTTGCTGGACATCGCTTGAACCATCAGCTTCGAGGCCAATGAACTCTTCAGCTTCTGGGACTCTTCGGAGGGATTCAAGCTAGACAGATTCAGCAATTCACTCAGATTAGACATATCCACTCCTGGCAGGAAAGAAGCTGGCTTCCACGGACGCTCCAGTATTTTGACATGAACTCCAAAGATTACAATTGGGCTTTCCCGAGGAATAAGCTGCAAACAGGCGCTTTAAAGCATGTTCTCTTGCATTGTCATAGCAAATTACCTTTACTGTGATGAAGGATTCTCCCTTGTCGAACCTAATATCGTATCTGTAGACATCTAGCTCGTTGATCTCACTGTACACGGCTCCATCGACAGTCTCCCGGTATGTGAAAGAGATTCCAGAGAAGATTTCTGCCCTCTTGCAATATGAAACCGCGAAGCTCACAGACTTGATGAGATTATTAGCCGACCGGATGGTCAGACTACACTGATTCTCGTCCTCGCCATCCTCAGGACGCTCCAGGACAATCGTGCGGGCATCATCGACGATATCCGTTGGGAATTCTGGAAGTCTGCGAAAGAGGGAAGATGTCATAACCTGAGTTTTCCAAGTTCAGTCGATTTTGCTTGCTCACTCTGAGGACTTTTCATCACAGTGAGACAAATCTATCACATTCTGTAGGTTGCCATCCAGAAGATGCCAGTTTGTGGTAAATTCTAACATATTTTCTGGTAGAAAACGACTTGGAAAGCGATACAAACGAAGAAATCAAAACACTCCGAGCGTGCAATTTGCGAAGGTAATTACACTGTCATGATAAGCTGCATAAAAAGTACAAATTTCTCACATTTGAAAAACCACACAGGAAAATCTCTGCATTTAAGTCGTTCAAGAATATTCTTTTTATCTCGTAAACCTAGCAAATAAAATTCCGTTTGCAGCACTTGCGGTAAGCAAAAAACATTTCTTGAAGAGGACCGAAACTACGCCACTGCGTTGTTTATTTATGGACTGTTTTTATCAGTGCAGTCTGGGAAATATTTACTTCCATTTGTATCTGGCAGAGGCGCTGACTGGCGACCTTGTGTGACGTCATAGGTCATTTGTGACGGGAGTCGGCGAGTATCCGAGACTTGGATTACTTCCTGCAGAACCATTAGCGCGTTGAGGAGAGTCTCAAGGATGGCCGGCAAGTACAAGATTGTGATGGTGCGCCACGGCGAATCGGAGTGGAACCAGAAGAACCTCTTCTGCGGCTGGTTCGACGCCGACCTCAGCGACAAAGGTCGCGAGGAGGCGAAATCAGCTGGAAAGGCCATCAAGGAAGCCGGCCTGAAGTTCGATGTGGCTCACACGTCCTTCCTCACGCGCGCCCAGAACACGCTGGCGTCGATCCTGCAGGAGAGCGACCAGACGGGCATTCCCATCGAGAAGACCTGGCGTCTCAACGAGCGCCACTACGGCGGCCTCACTGGGCTCAACAAGGCCGAGACGGCCGCCAAGTACGGCGAGCAGCAGGTGCAGATCTGGCGCCGCAGCTTCGACGTGCCCCCACCGGCCATGGAGCCCGACCATCCCTACTATGACAAGATCGTGAAGGATCCCCGCTATGCTGGCGACCCGAAACCCGAGGAGTTCCCCATGTTCGAGTCCCTGAAGCTGACCATCGAGCGCACCCTGCCGTACTGGAACAGCGTGATTGTGCCCCAGATGCAGGCCGGCAAGAAGATCGTGATTGCCGCCCACGGAAACAGCCTGCGAGGCATCGTGAAGCACTTGGACAGTAAGAATGTGGCTGTTGAAATTGTGGCGGGATATTTTGTAATTCCTCTGTCCTTTGCAGATATGAGCGATGCGGCAATTATGGAGCTGAACTTGCCCACGGGCATTCCGTTCGTGTATGAACTGGATGAGAACCTGAAGCCGGTGGTGTCCATGAAATTCCTCGGCGATGAGGAGACTGTCCGGAAGGCCATGGAGAGTGTCGCTGCCCAGGGCAAAGCCAAATAGATGATCGCTCTGAGCGACCGTATTTATCTCAATATTTATTCGAACGAGGTGAATCGTTGTAAAATAACTCGGTGAAATACATGTAAGCTCTTCGTGTTCACAGAAGCAAAATTCTTGATTTTTCCATTGAAGAGGCGGAAAATTCTTGGGCTTTTAAATTCCTTCAAGAGCGCGGCGAAAAACATCGCGAGCGCCGTAACCTCACTTTGGCGGAGATGGTTTTGTATTGTCAGAGGAACAGAATGCATAAACAAAAATTCTAATTATTAATTCATCTCCTCTACACAGTTGTTCAGTGTGTTAAAATGCATCTGTCCGGTGCCACGCGGATCCGGGTGTTGATTATAATTGTGTGTATTGTAATATTTTGGCTTCTGTTCAAGCAATTTCTGGAGAATCGAGCCCTCGAAGTGGTAAACTAGCGGCTAGTGTGATTTTCCCTGAAACTGCTCTCTTTCACGGAGTCTCTCTTCCAGGACGAGATTGTGATAAAGCCCTCGGGAGCTCCTGTGGTCGTGGGCGTGTACTACGAAGCTCTCTGTCCAGATTCTAAGCACTTCGTGGTGAAGCAATTGAAGACAACGCATGATGCGGCTCCTCAGCTTATAGATATTGACTTTATTCCCTACGGGAAGGCTACCGTGAGTCCTGCAAATGGGTTTAGCTGTGGGAATTGGTGTAGCTGACTGTATTGGCTTTCAGACGGAAGTTCGGCCGGACGGATCCCTCGAGTTCAACTGCCAGCATGGCCAGGTCGAGTGTGAGGCCAACATCATCCATGCATGCGTGGTGGACGTGATTTCAGATTCAGATCTGCGTCTCAAAATGGTGACGTGTATGATAAGGGATAATATCGAGCCCAAGAACGCCTTCCACAGAGTGAGTACTTCAATTGGCTGAGATAAGGTGTCGTGTTCGACTCTATCGATTGATTTTCATCGCCAGTGCGCTAAGGAAAACAGCATCGATTCTGCTGATAAGATACAAAAGTGCTACAGTGGGCCTCATGGGGCAGAGCTGCTGAAGACGCACGGCGAGAAGACGCACGCTCTTCGGCCCAGGATGGACTTTGTGCCCACAGTGACGCTGGACGGTGGACAGTACAAGCAGGCGCTCATCCTGAAGAATCTTCTCAAGGAAGTGTGCAAGATTGTCGCCGGACGAGGTCCTGTACCCGATGTCTGTGCAGGTGAGAGTCTGACTGACTAATAGAACAATGTTTTTAGGAAAAAAAACGAGCTCGATCATGGACAGTGACGCAAATTGGGGATATTTATATCAGCACTCATTTGGATTTTTACTCCACCTCATCATCCCATGTGAACAAAAATAAATTACGTGTGTCATTCCATAGGGGAGAGAGAATAAAGAAATATTGTGCAGAAACGTGAAAATGAATATTTTACGAAGCGAGTTCTATTTCACCTGAATCAGCTGTTCCGTTTCAATTGCGCGCCTGTTGGAAAAACGCGGGCTCGGCTGTCACAGAAAAACATTCGATTATCACTATCACGCTATCATGCCAGTCGAGTCGCTTTTACTCCGCGACATCTCTCTCGAAGAGTTCAGTTCAGTGTGAAAGAGCGATGGAGAAGGTTGTGCACCTGTAAAGAATTTCTATAGAACACAAAACTTGTAAATTTTCACTACTTGTGACCACTCAATTACCAAGAAATTGATGGGAAAGTGTAACAGAGACGTGTAGTGTTGTCAACAATTGTAAAAATGCATGCAAACGCGGGGACAATGGCAGGAAAATTGATTTTTGGTGTTTGTTTACCTTTTGCTCTGTTTTTCTCCACAAATGGATACCTAATTCAGCATCAGTGTTCCCATCAGCATCCAAAGGCGCACGAGGTGAGTCTCTAGTGTCTAAGATTTCATATGTGGGCCACTTTAGTAGCGAAGAGGAAGGAAAAACAAGAATTTTCCACCCAAAGTTGGGTTATGTCCTCCCAGAGACGTCCTAACAAATAAATTATCCTGCTGAAAATTCACTCTCTCTCACTCTCTTTTTCTGTCTACAATTCTCTTCAGGCCTTCATTCAAAGAGGTGAAAAAGTGCTGATTTAGTTGTAAATCATTTTACTGGAGAAAATCATAAATTATCAGTAGCAAATTGAAAAGTCAAACGGAAAAATCATTAAGGATGACTCACTGGAAATATTTCAGGAAATATTCCTGCGCAGTGAAATTTTAAAATACATTCCGCAGTTTTCCAGAGAAACTAAAGAGACAAAATGTAATATTTTTAATTGTTAAGCTATGTCTGTTTAGCAGCAATTGACGAACTAGAGCAGAAAAGTGGCATTGAAACACGCATTCAGGGTCATTGCTAGGATTTCTTTATTTTCACTGGAAAATCTTACTTGATCACAAAGTGAGAGGAAGTTGGGAAAATAGTGCTAATTTTTGGTATAACTTTCATCCCATGTGAGAGAGATAAAGTGATAGAATTTATATGGCCGAGAGAGAACTGTGCAAAGAGCGTGTTAAGGAGTACAGTTCCGCTTTTATTAATTTCATTGCATTTTTAGTGTTACATATTTATGGGAAAGAAGGTCGAATTTTGATACGAGAAAAAGTTCAAATCTCACATAATCTCAAAATCACAAATCATCTTAATCTTATTGAGGAAATGTTAACGAATGACGCTTTGCAACGTGTAATGAAAAGAAAATATTATGAACAGTTATTTATAATTGTAATAGGGGAGCGATGGTCACTTTTGATTCGGCACAATCAATAAATATTGGTTGACTTTCATTTCGGAGTTTCTGCTTCTGAAAATGTAAATCTTTTGTGTGGTTTTTTTACAACTTTAAGCAATATCACAATTAATTCTCTTTCGGATAACAAACCGAACCGAGTGGACTACACTCTCTCCTAATTCAGCGGTGATTACGAGTAGTCTCGTGTTAGTTATTACAATGGTCAGCAGATGCTGACTTTGAATCGAGTAACAAGTACAAGAAACACTCGCGAAAAGAAAGTCACCGCAGTTTCTCGGTATAAAAGTGTGCAAAGGAAAATCTTGCTTGAACCTTTTATTCATCGTGTGAGTGAGTCAGAAATTTTGCAAATTAACGTAAGTCACTAAACCTTTTAGCGCCTCAACCTCGTAAAATTGCCTAAGGGAATACTTGTCGAATGTACGCTCAATCAAAAATCAGCTTTAGTGTTGAGTTATACAACAACGTAGACTTGCATATTCAACCCTTTCACTCTTCATTGTCATGCTCACCAAATGGCGGTGATTTTGCCGAAATATTTTCTGCAATATTTATTGCAGAGGCTGAAATTAAGAAGAAAAAAAAATACGCGTGGGCCCAAAGAAAGTCATTGTTTGACCGTGTTTGAATAAAATTGACACTAATATGGCCCATTTTCGGTTCAACGTAATGATATAATGGGTGTTTCTGCGAAAACCGGCTCAGAAGTGATTCAGATTTAATGAAATGAACATGGAGAGTTAAATGCCGGCAAAGGTTTATATTGCAGAAATGCTCCAGATTGATGATCTATTAATCAAATTATTCTCCGCTTGGAGTAATGTTCCATGAGTCTTTAGCTCTAAATTGCATCTTTTAGTTCACATTAAGTCATGGAGAGAGATCACACAGAGAGCACTGAAATATAGTTCAATGGAAATGAGGAGGAAAAAATATCATGTGGAGAAGGAGAATCGTGAAATAATTGAAATTTACATTGATTGTGGCAACAGAGTTGAGACGGTGAGAGACCTCAGAGATGTGACCTTTTCCTTCACTTTTCACCACTTTGAGCTCTAATTTTCCACATAAATTATCATTAATGCTTGTTTACTTATATGCCAGTGATTTTCTCAACATGCTCAAGCGAACACATGAAGATAGAAGGAGAAAAAAGTGACAAATTAATTTCCTATTAGCATTCAATCACATTTTATTGATTTGCCGAGTGGACTGAAGGTTCTTGTTTTTGCAATCTCCTTATAATCATCTCCTTTCTGTTTGTATTGCCGCGTAAAACAAATAAAATCTCAATTTTCTGCGATGCCCAAGGCAAGAAATCTTCTCATATGAGAGTGTAATTTCAGCGAATCAACTCCAATGAACAAACTAAATTGCATATGCATGCAATTAATTAAATCACATCATGTGAATTGAGTTAAATGACTTGGAGATTAATTATGACCATAATTCTGAGGGTGAGCAAAGGGCCGGGAAGTTTCCGCGCATAAAATGTATTTTAGTCTGGGTGTTTGGGAAAATTACTGTTGAGCTGTAAAATGATTTCGTCAGATTGTTAAATGAGACATTTTAACGCAGTTGACAACGTCACATAGCCTATTTTACGCATGGTGAAAGCTTTTCTAATTGATTTCAAAACCACAATCATTGTCTTCTGTAGAAATGTTTGATTTGACGCCTATCAAAAGCAGCAGAAACATGAGCATGAAACTGATAACTTGTTATTACATTTTCTCCCAATTGAGAAGCTTGTAATTGCTACTCATTTGTTGATTGTTCATTGATGGATCGTGAAATCATTTACTAAGCGGCTAATTTGGATGAGATTGTGCATTAAAGTGATCTTTAGCAAATGGGTGGTATTCACGATTCTTTGTTCGGTCATGAGTTGCAAAATATTTATACCACATAAACTTAAGCTAATGATCTTAATTATACTCTCAAATATACATACATCAATAACAAATATATTATTGAATACAAATAACAGATGAAGTGGCGAGTAAAAGATATCACTAAAATGTAGGAAAATATTCATAATACCTGTTTTTAAAATTTGTCTTTCATGAATAAAAAGGCAATGTTGAAAAAAAAAGTTCTTTGAGCACATTGTCATTAAAAGGAAACATGATTTATGCATTTCATAAGTATAGAATTGACAATTATAAATTATGTTCTATCGGTTATTTAATGATTTATCTTGCATGATGATTTCTTAACCCTCGTCGTGTGCTTTTCAGTTTCATTAGATAAATTGCAATGTACAAAACAAATCACTCACTTGAGCCACAAATTCTCTCCAGCTTCAATCTTTAATTTCCTGGCACAATAAAGTATCTGTCAAATTCTGTTCCCTTTTGGGGAACGACAAGGGGTTTCATTTGGGGCCAAAGTCATATACATTCGCTTCCCTTCAATCTGTCATTGTGCTATCTCTATGTTATAAAGATGGATGAAAAATTGCCACGAAAATGGGGGCAAAAAATGCCTTTATTCTTTCACTTGGTGTAAATTAAATTTCTTTGTTATATGAGCGAAGTACAAATAATTACATAGGAATTCTTGAGCGTTCACGGTTCCATAAATTTAGCTGGGCAGGCTCGATTGGTGACTTTTAAGAGCGTGTGTAAGGTGGCTTTTTTTCCGGGCAGAAAAGGTGCGGGTAAGAGTGTGTAGGTAATTTAAGTGTGGCAGGAAATCAATGAACAGATGCCAAAAGTGGTATGGGAAAGAGAGCACGTTGGTCGGCCACTGTTTTTGGAGTTCAATGAAAGTGAATCGCGTAAAACTCTCGCTTTCATGTTTGGGTTGTGCATCACTTTTTTTTCGAAAAGGTAAAGTCGCAACGACAAAAATGAGGAAAATAAGATGTTGCAGGGAAGAGAGAGAGAGAGAGAGAGGGAAATAAATGGTTGGGAGAGAAGAAACAGGTAAAGTGTCACATTAAAGAAGAATAAAAGCAAATGAGAAGTGTTATTAATCATGAGTAGCATAGTTACTCTCGTGGCTCTCCTATTAAATATTCACCTTTTACCATAGATCCTAATTATGGGGGCACTTTTTGTCAGGAAGTCATTATCGGGCGAACGTGAGAAATTTATTTTTGTTTCCAGTGGAAAAAATGAAGAGGTTTTTTTTATGACCAAATTAATAGATCAAGTTCAACGGTTTTGTGCGAAAATCGATATTTTTCTGGCACTTTGCTCGAAGGTCGGTTGACTATCTTGAGAAATATATATATATTTTTTCTGTCATTTGTTGGAAAATTACTTGCTATAAATTACGTGTTATTACTGAATTTATTGAATTGTTTGATTTGGGATTGGTACATAAAGAGTTGTGATTGTTTCTCGAAGGAAATACTCAACTCCTTATGTTATTGCTCAAGTCTTATTTTATAAAAAGTACTTGCGGCTATTTGTAAGACGTTCATATTTATGTTTACGTGTATTATGCAGGGAAAAAATAACCCATGGTATAAAATTCAGTATTTTATATCTCTTTATTATTCAACTGCGATAAATTTTGTGGTAAAAATGTGTCTGGGATGCGTCTGAGGTTCTTATTCATAATAAATTCTGGTTTTTATTCTTATTTACTGGATGGTCAGAGAGTTATAATAAATAAGTGGAATTCTCTTGATAAATGTTTTGCAATTAAATGAACAATCACAATTCGACGATTGCATGAAGATGAAAAATCATCTCTAATTTGACACATCAGAGAGCGAATGATAAATCATCGCAAAAGTTTAACTGTGAAAGCAAAAAGAGCTTTCAATTTTATCAGAGATGTGCCATCTTCGAAGTGCTGAACTTTGCTCGAGTATCAAGATTTCACTGTTTGCCGCTTCCTATTGTGAAACTGATAATTTCGTGATTTATGGGACATGGACAGAAAAATGGATCACAACAAGAGCAAACTTGTATAATTGTGAGTTGCATAAAAATCAACCTTCCTGGATGTTTGTGCCAATCAGCACAGATGGTGTATGTTTGCTGTAAAATCAGCGGGAGCCGCGGGCCCTCGATTTAATGGGGCCGCTCAACTCTCCGGCTTAGAGGGTCCCCCACTGACCGTCGAACACCTTCATTCATCAGTGAGTGAGTCCAAATGGGGCCACGC